TCTGTGTATTCGAGAGTTGAAATTGTGATACCTCTATATAAGTCTTGCTTTGAGCTTTTATAGATTCTGCCTGGCACAATCCTAGTAAGACTCTAACTCTCTTTATAAGAGTCCTCATAAGAATCACACTCCCAAGGATAATGCCTATCTTAATAACTCCCTACTCGCTACCAACCAAGTGAGACGGCTCGAACCTCCTGCCTCAACTCGGTAGTACACTCAATCGAGCTAACCTAACCCTGTTCTACGTTGGATAGAACCAAGATGGTATTCGACCGAGATAAAGTTCAGTCCGGTATGCTACAAATATACCCTGGTTCGAGCTGCTGTTTACATCTAGCCAATCTGCGCCAGTCCTTGGACTGATATCTATAAACCTCAAGATCGAGCTATAAACGCTTTTAGCTCGGCTGCAAGCGCACCCCTACGAACTAAGGAGTCTACTTAGCTTGGCCCAATACTTAAACCAAATGGACCTAGCTCGGCCTAGTTTATGCATATAAATTACCCTCTCAAATAAAGTGTTTATTGCTAATGAAATAGTTGATGAATGGAAAAAATCTAGAAGAAAAGGTGTTATTATCAAACTGGACTTGGAGAAAGCTTATGATTCAATCAATTGGGAATTCATATTCTCTATGTTATCTAATTTTGGTTTTGGATCTAAGTGGATATCCTGGATGAGTGAATGTATTTCTACAGCAAGGCTGTCTGTCTTAATGAATGGCTCATTAACGAAGGAGTTTTCTCCACAGAAAGGTCTTAGACAAAGTGATTCTCTTTCTCCTTTTCTATTCAACATAGTGGTTGAAGGTCTGAATATCTTAATGAACAGAGCTTATGAGAAAGGCATTATTAAGGGGGTAAAAGTGGAAGTAAAAGAGGTAGTGCTATCCCATCTCTAATTTGTTGATGATTCCATTATATTTTGTGAGACAAATATGGATCAAATAGTGCACACAAAGAGGATCTTAAGAAGCTTTGAAATATTGTCTGGAATGAGAATAAATTTCAACAAGAGTGTGGTATGTGGTGTGGGTGTGGATAAGGAAACTTTGGTTTCTTTCGCTGATATTCTAAACTGCAAGGTTCATGGCCTGCCACTCAAATTTTTGGGTCTTGCCTTAGGTGCTAATCCAGGGAGGAAATCAACCTGGAAGCTAGTTTCGGATAAGATAAAATCTCGGTTGGCTGGGTGGAAGAGAAGGCTCATCTCCTTTGCAGGTAGATTAACTTTGATTAAGTCCGTACCATCTAGCCTTCCTATTTATTATCTATCTTTGTTCAAAATGCCTAGTGGAGTGGTTAGAGAAATTGAAAGGCTTGAAACTTCTTTCCTACAAGGTGGGAATGGGTTAAAGAGGAAGGTTCTTCTAGTGAATTGGGTGGAAGTATCCAAAAATATTAATCAAGGACGACTGGAGATTAGGAAAATTAAGGATGTCAATGCAAGTTTACTCATTAAATGGTGGTAGAAATTTGGAAGTGACGTAAATGCACTATGGAGAAAATTGGTGTGCAGTAAGTACATGATTGAGGAGGCTAGTTGGATACCACATGTGCACTCATCATCTAGACAATCTAGAATCTGGAGAGATGTTCTTTCAATTGCAGGTCATAATCAACCTTTGGTGGAGTTCTTTTTGGGGCAGTATCAGAGAAAGGTTGGGAATAGGCATAGAATTAAGTTTTAGTTTGATAAGTGAGTTGGTAATATGTGCCTTAAAGATGAGTTCTCTAGACTCTTTAGTTTGTCAAATGACAAGGAGGACACACTGTCTTAGTTTTCAGAGAGGAAATCCAGCTTAGTGGAGTGGAACTTTGCCTTCAGAAGGGTGTTATATGATTGGGAGAAAGCGGAGGTCAATAGGTTGGTGGTAGCATTGAGGGAGACCCCTTCTCTAAGTCCTGATGTAGAAGACTGTCCTGTTTGGATTGGTTCTACTGGAGGTAACTTTAAGGTATTTTATATCTATAGGTTCAGTGATTCCCTTTTGGGCCCTCATATCAAAATTTGTAAGTTTATTTGGAACAATGGTATTTCCCCCAAAGTTCAATTTTTTGGTTGGTTGGCTTGGAGGAATAGAGTTAAAACGGGGGTTTTTTTACAACATGTTGGTGCCCTTAATAGTAGTGCTTCTATCTTATGTGCTTTTTGCAAAAGTGAAAATGAATCTGCTATTCATATTCTGCTACACTGTCCATTTTCATGGAAAGTTTGGTCTGATTTGCTGCATTGGTGGGGGTGTTTGTGAGTGGTGCCTAAGTCTATTGATTGCTTATTCCATTGGTGGTTAAGCTGGAATCATAAGAAATTGGTTAGGAGGTTGTGGAGGGCCTTACCTTCTATTGTTCTCTGGTCTATTTGGAAGTTAAGAAATGATTGTGTATTTAATGGAGTCCAGCCTAGTAGGTCTGAGTTATGTGAAATTATTAAGGTTAGATTTGCTCTTTGGGTTAAAGCTTCATCAAAGGGGATCATGTACTCTGTTATGGACTTAATCAACAATCTAGAACAGATTAAGGACTGCAGCTGAGATTTGTTCTGTCATATGCTGGCTGCTGTTTGGGTGTTTTGGGGGGCTTTTTGGATTTTGGATTTTGTTGGTGTACTGATTTGTTGGTTTGGTGAATAGCTGTTTCACCCCAAGCTGTGCTAGTTTGGGCAACACTTGCTGGTCTTCCACCATGTATTGTGAGCTGGTCTGTAATTTTCTTGTTTCTGTTTGTGGTGTTTTGGGTGGCATTTTGGTATTTGATGGTTTGGTGGTTTACTGGTTTGGGTAACACCTCTTTCAATCCTGGTTGTGTATCTATCTGCTGACTGTGTATCTATCTGTCTCAGTGCTGTATCTATCTGGCATTTTGGTGTCTGCTAGGTTGTTGGTTTACTGGTTTGGGCAACACCTGTTTCAGTCCTGGCTGTGTATCTACTAGAATTGGTAGCTCTATTGTGTGCTTTTTGCTAGTTGTTGGTTTACTGGTTTATGCTGTGTATCTACTAGAAATGGTAGCTCTACTGTGTGCCTCTTGGTCAGATTTTGTTCCAGGTGAATCTGCATTACATTGAGGCTGCAGATATGTTTGGGAGGCTGATGTTAATGTGTTAGTGGTTGCTATTCTTCTGCTGTTAATGTTCTGGCTTTGGTTGTATTTTGTGGAGGCTATGTATCTGCTAGAATTGGTAACTCTGATGTGTGCCTTTGGTGCTGTATCACTGTGTTGGCCTTTTGCTGGTTGTTGGTGGTGGTATGTTTTTGTCAGAATGTTATGCTCAGCAGAGGACAGGTTCCCTTAGCAGTGGACTATTACATTGGTCTTATGTATGGAGTGTTGCTCTGCTGCTAGAAATGTTTGTGGTCTTGTGAGCTAGTGTTGGTTTCTCACCAACACTATGCTTGGTTATCCTTTTTTCTCCTTTTTTATTTCTCATCCTTATTGTTGAACTCCCATATGTAATGTATGGCTTTATCATCAATAAAGATTTTCTTTGCTGAATTAAAAAAATAAAAAAAAATAGTAATAAATCAAATAAGAAATTTGTTTATGTATTACATTTTCCTATCTAAATGCAAGATGAAACTATTAGTTTATTTCTTATTACAACAAGATTGTGTGTTTATACAGCCACTCATACGAGTTTAATTTGTTCGCCCACCTAACGAGTGTTTGAACAAAACCTACAAAACAAAACCCACAACCCTAATTGGTTAAAGAGTGATTCTATTTACAATACACTTTTATTTCATTACACACTTAATTTCCTTTTTCTTTTTATTACAATGTTACCCTTATCTAAAATTATTAAAAAAAATTCTCAAAACTTACCCTAAACATCTCAGCCCACTCACTCCTTCACCATCATTTCCATTTATCACCACCACTGCCAATAATCAGCGATACCATCCACTGCGTTGGCACCACTCCTAGCCCCCTCTTTGCCTCACTCATCCTCTTTTTTTTCTTCATATTTGAAACCCTAGTCTCTTTCTCTCTCCCTCTCTCTCTCTTGCAAGGTTGCACAATGGAAATGGCTAGGTCATGTTAGAGGCAACTAGTTCGCAGTGGAGCTGGGCTGATGAGTCACGATGGATAGGGCTAAGGAGGGAATTGCAATGGGAAGGGAGACTAGAAGGGGAGTAATAGTGGGGAGGGGTGGCTTAGAAGGTGATCGCATTGGGGAGCGGTCATTATATTCGAATGTGGTGGTTGCAAGAGGCAATAAAGGGGTAGCGGTGGTGAAAGGGGTCACCGGAAGGGGAGAGAGGTTACAGTGGGGAAGGGAGGTTGTCGATGGGGAAGGAGTTGAGGTTTGTGGTTAGAGGTGGCGACAATGCCTACCAAAAGTGGTGTTTAGAGGGTGGAGTAGGATTAGGGTTTGAAAATTTGGGGTTTAAAGATGAGGACAAATTTGATATTATAGTGAGTGTAAAAAGAGAAAAACATTTTTTTTTTAATACGTAACGTAATTAGAAATTGAGTGTAATGACACACAAAAAAAAAAAAAAAAAAAAAGTATTGTGTAAATAAAATGACAATTAAAACAAGAAAATTTATTATTTTAAATGGAATCCTCCCAATTGTTTTAACCAGTCACACAATAGAGTTTTATTTACCCACTAATAAGTGGGTGGACTAAAATTAATTTCATTTTTTTTAACAAAAATAATTTCATCATAAAATAGAAATAAACATCACCCCCATATACAAAGGCTGAAAACAAAATCATTGGTTATCTCTTGAAACAAACACAAAATGACAATATTGACATATTTATATATAACATATTTGTATGCCGAAGAATCACTTTTCTAGCTTCCACCACCCAAATTTTTATAGTAAAATCAAAACTTAATCTCATTAATTTAAAGTCTCCCTCGTACAACCCAATGTGATTCTATGCCGACCATAGCCTGTTTCTCATTTTTTATTTTTTTTGAGGCATTTAATGAATATTTTGCAACAGAAAAAACACTATAAATAGACCCTTAAGCCCTTATAGTGTCCCATCGAGAGACAGCCATTAGAGCTCATTGAAACCAATACCAAAAAAAATATTTCTAAAAAAGTGAATCAAAGAGAGCTCTGATGGCTTCTAACAATTTGCTTGTCATCCTTGCCATTGTGGCAATTGTTCTTCCTTCAGTCACCATGGCTACTGATTATTGGGTTGGTGACTCTAGTGGTTGGACCAATGGCTACGATTACCAAGCTTGGGCTAAGGATAAAGTATTCTATGTTGGAGACAAACTAGGTAAACTAGCTTCTTCTTCTTTCTTTTTTTTTTCTTTTTTTCTTCTTTTTTTCTTTTTGAAAAAAAAAAAAAAAAACTAACGAGGAGCTCCAGGTAAGGTCGCATCTGGTTGGCCAAGCTTGCGAAATTAGTTCCCAAACTCACCTAGAGCTAAGCCATACAAGTTTTTTTTTTTTTTTCTATCAGGCCGAGTCTGGTTAGTCCCAGATCAAAAAACCTTAAGCTTAAGCTATTTCTAATGGGCTTGGCCTATATAAGATTTTTATTGTTTTTTATTTTTTTTTATTTTCTGTGGGCCGCCTCATGCAAAATAGGCGAGGGATTCTATATGTACCTAAAAAATCATTAAACAGGTTTAATTTCTCAGTACACTCTATTAAATTATTTAGATTTATATTTACTCTCAATACACCCTATGTGTGTTTTTTTTTTTTTTCCAAATTACCCTTCAAGGAACACTCAAATAATAAACAAATAAAAAATCTCCAAATTACACCACTTTGAAAAACCCTTTCAAAACCCCTTAAACAGATTTCTCATTATAGTTATCCTTTTTGTTCACATAAAAGGAACGACGACACCGGCAAAAGAGAAATGAAAAATTAGGGGTTTGATTTGGGGCTTTGATTTGTACATATTTTTTAGTTGCATTTTATCTTTTTGAGTTGTATAGTGGAGAGCCACCAATGTTGCCCAACCTAGACAAAGGAATACTAGAATTAATGGAGTTGGAATGTTCTCATATACAACTAACTTGCTTATGGATAGGGCTGCAAACGAGCCAAGTCGAGTTTTAATATGTTTGGGTTTATTTATTAAGATTTTAACAAGTTCAAGTTCGAGTCCGAACTCAATAAAAATTTAACGAATTGAGTTCGAGCTGAGTTGGATGAGGCTTTACTCAAGTTCGGGTCTGTTCACAAACCTTAACGAGCCAAAGAAATTATAAGTTCATACTTGCGTATGAGACTAAAGTTACAATTGAAAATTTGTGTACATACTATAAAAATAAAAAAAAATAAAAATAAGAAGTCAATATCTTACCAAAATAATAATTTTTATCACTATACCAAAAAAAAAAGTCCGAGATTGAGGTCGGACATGACGGCCATAGCGGCCATGGTGGTGAGGAGTTCGCGATGGCAGGACAACCACGAACCTAGAAAAAAAAGAAGATGGTCGGGCTCGATGGCCGTGGCGGTGAGGAGTTCACTAAGGCAGAACAACCACGAACCCAGAAGAAGAAGAAGAAGAAGAGAGAAGTGGAAAGGGATCACAGTGGTGAGAGGTGGTGGGAGGGTGGTTGGATCTACTAAAGAAGAAAAGAAAAAGAGAGAAAGGATGCTGTCGGCCGAAGTGAAGTGAAGTGGAGTGGAGTGGAGGTGGAGGTAGAGGGTTAGGGTTGGGAGGATAGAGATAAGTAAATATGGAAATTGGTGTTAAGACAATAAAAAATAATAATAAATAAATAAATAAATAAAATAGAAGAGGTGGAAGTCCAAAGGAAAAACGTAGCTGCTAATAGTATCACTCTTATTGAAACTTGTTTAAAATACCAAAACTATCCTTATGAAAAACATAATTTATTAATGTGGAAGGTTATTTTGGTAAAATGAAATAAAACACTTTATTTTCCTTTCTCTTACTTATTTTGTCTAAATAAGATTGGTGAAAAATCATATTCTCTTTCCTATTATTCATCCAAATATAATGGTAAGAAACAATAATAATTTCTTTTCTTTTTGTACCTAGATAAGAGACCACATTTTTTTTCTCACCTCCCCTCACGATCCAAACAGAATGTAAGTCCTGACTCCGGTGGGATCAAAAAAGAGTTGGGAATAGAGCTTTAAACTATTGATCTACTCCTTAGTGACTCTGTGAGTTTGAACCCTAAGAAAAGGATTGGGTCGCCCAAAAATACTCACAGAGTCACTGAATCACATGAAAATCTCAAGATACGGGAATCTCGAGTTATAATTCTACGATTGTATCACTAAATCATTGAGAATCTTAAACACGGCAATCTTGAGACATAATCCAATGATCGTGAGTGTTTTAAGACAATAAAACAAAGAAATTTGGGACAAAAAATCTCAAGATCATTTTAATTATTCAGCTATTAACCTAAAATAAATGTTCAACTGTGTCATTTTGATTAATTTCTTCTTCTATATTTGTTTGTTTATTTCTCATACAGTTTTTAACTATACTATGGGAAATCATAACGTGTTCAAAGTGAACGCTACCGGCTTCAGCCAATGCATTATCCCACCATCAAATGAGGCATTGACCTCTGGACACGATATCATTCCCCTTATGGTCCCTGGAAAAAAATGGTACATTTGCGGTGTGGGGCAGCACTGTGCTCAGTTTGGCCAAAAACTTATGTCTTAAGTTTCTTAGGTTTTTTTTTGCGTACCTTTCTTTAGCTGATGTTCCTCTATTTATATCCTCTTTTGGGCCCCAAGGTCGGGCCCACTCTAAAATTTTCAATTTGCTAAGCATGATATGAAAATTAATATGCAACTCTTATGTTTCTACTTTAGATTCGATTGTGTATTGTATAAATAATATTTATTTAATGAGTGCTAACTCTTTGATAATAAACCGAATGTTTTAATATTTTGATAATTGAATACCATGAATGATTTAATTATCTTTATTATGAGCAAATGTTTAGTGGATAATGACCATTGTATTGTTTGATTTAGTAATGCCTAAATATATTCGTATTACATAATGAATCATTATTATTCACGTTTTGCTGAATTTTATATTATCAAATTTTATTGTGAGGCACATGAAAGTGTTTTTTTTTGTTTTTTTTGGGTGGGTAGTAAATAAATTTTTGGGTAGGTAGCACATTAAAGTGTTATTAAATTTTAATATGAGAAAGCATATTGATCTTTATAGTACCAAGCATATTGCTATTTAAGATTCTAATTGTAACTTCTAAAAATTATATAAAGATGATGTCATTACCACCATTACATATAAGTTTGATTTTTGTGGGTGGTTTAACGAGATACAAAAGTATATATTCTTATGTAACATAGAATATGAATTGTGTTAATATTTGTTGTCTTAATTCTTATGAGTTCGTAATATGCATTATGATTATGATGATGAATAATTGTGAATAAATTATTATTCATTCAATAATGTCCATGCAAAGTTTTTATTGTGATTTGAAATTGGGAAACTTACCAATAAGTCCCATATATGAAGTTTAAGACCCATCTAATCCACAAATAAAACACTTGCACCAATTAGTCCTATATATTTTTACTTGTTACAAAAAAATCCTTTTTTTTTTTTTTTAAATTTACAAACGCTGCTACATCTCACCACGGTGGGACTTCCGTCAGACAGTCACCAGAAACTCGCCAAAATGTTCAACATTACCTGGAAGTCGCCAGAAGTTCGCCGACGTGTTCTTAACGTCATTGGAAGTCGCCGGAATGTCCAAAACGTTCGTTGGATGTTAAGAATATCATCGGAGATTCATCAGAATGTCCAGAATATTGCCGGGAAAAAAAAAAGAATAAATGGAGAAATTAGAGCAAAAAACCATAACAAAATGTATTAAATATTGATAAACTGAAAGGAAAAAAAAAACGTAACAACAAAAAACAACAACAATTGAAAAACAAAAAAAGCATATGTTATTTTTGAATTTTTGTAGAGTTTAAACAAATAATCTCTAATATTGATCAAATTGAAAAGAGAGCTTTGAAACTGAAACTATAAAATGCTACAGTTTCAAAACAAAAATATGTTAAGTATATATCTTTATTAATCCAACTGAAAAATATGATATGAAACTGCAAAATTTTACAGTTTTAAAGAATCTTGTGAAACTGTAAAATTTTATAGTTTTAAACCATGATTTATTTCAGTACCAAAAAAAATGAAATTGCAAAATTTTACAGTTTTCACCGTCTAAAACTCGAAAACAACTTGTTTAGAACTTAGAAATTTTATCCATTAAAATAGGGGGAAAAAAAAGTGTATAGCAGAGAAAAGATAGAAAAATTGAAAGATCGAAGGAGAGAGACAGATATAGAGAAAGGATTGTACGCCAGCAACTATATTTTGTTTAGATTTAGTCGGATCTAATGTAGATATACTCAGATCTGATGTACATCTGAGTAGATCTACTCATCTTCTTCATCAGAAACAGATCTTCTTCACCGTCGGTGAAAAGGAAGCAATGAGTCGTGGTCAGTGGTTACCGGTGAACCCTAATCGATGGTGGTTGTCAGTCGCCGATGATTGTATATCAGAAAAAGAAAGAGAAGAAGAAAGACATGGTTACTAATTGCCGATCACCGGAAATCAGGCAGAGAAAAACAAAGACATAAAATAAGAAAAATGTTAGGGACTTTTGGTTATAAATAAAAGGTTGTGGGACTAAATAGGTCACACCTCTTTCAAAAAGGACTTGTTAGTAATTTTTCCCCCCCCCCCCTTTTTATCAAAAAACATACCAAACACTTGCATGAGTGTTTATGGGTCCAACATTCATGTGAGTATTTAGTAAATTCCTTGATAATTTGGTTAATATCCACAAAGGACACTCTCTGGCTTTTGTTAATGTCACAGGGCTCTTATAGGATAGGACACTCTGATGCATCCTAGGGGCTTGTTTTGCAGATATTCATGAGGAAGGAGTAGTTATTGGTTAGTCCAAAAGAAGTGCCACGTGATGCGTCGTATGCATTGTGATTGGTGTAGGGTGTTGTAGCTCGACTTTCTTCGCCGCCTCCCTTTCGGAGAGGCTTCGAATTGGTCCTACAGTTTGGATTCCTGTCACGGTTCTGAATCTAATCTCACAAAGTGCAATGTAAGACTGATAAATCACCAAAGAGTACAAATTCGGAAAATCGTTTTGAAAAATCGATTTTAATCAAAAAATACCAAACATGGACTGCTTTGACAGATTATAGAGTCGCCACATAAATATTTTGTTTTTGGGAAATTTGGGAAACCTTGACTCGTGCCTAAGGCCACGTGTCCGTCATCACCAAAGTTGCCTTGGCTCGAGAACTTGGGTACGAGAGGGGAAGGTCCTGAAATGAGTACCCCCGCTCGCCCGATCAAAAATCGGCCTCTACTAAGCATGATATGTTGTTTTATAAACCTCATGTGTTCTTGTTTCGGTTATTAGCTATCTTACTATGTGATACGCACAGCATACAAGTATAGATTCAATCGCTCAATTTGGAACAAAACATCTCATGTTTGTTTTTTTGAAAATGGTTTGAAGTTGCTACCCTCAAGTAGGCTAAAGTGCGGATTTTCCACCCTTAAGTGGGCTTAAAACATGATGATTTGCCACTTCAAGTGGGCTTAAAACTCATATTTTGATGAATTGTTCCAATTCAAGCAATGAAGCCTTCATCCACAGGCATTCATGCAATTTATCAATTAAACAATTAGCCTCATGGCAAGCATGCGATCATGGCAACACTTACACTCATGCAAGGATGCTAAAACGTAAAGACTCACCGAGTACTCCGAGCCAAAACAGAAACTAGTTAGAAATCATGCATGATCCTAGCTATGTTAATTGCCTAATACAACGCATGCAAAAATGAAACTAAGTAGGCTCGGCTATCTAAGATGGCATATGAATGCGACACTTAATAACATGCTTTTGAACACGTATTCAAATATGTATTGAAAGGCAATACAGTTTGTATGATGCACCGAGCCCGGTGCATGCAAAACAAATGAATGATGCACACATGCAAAGCATAAGGTATGCTAATTGAAATATGCCATAAACTAACGATCAAAAACTGATAAGTAAAAGGGAGAAAGACGTGGGGTTGGAAGACATTGACACACACACGCACGCTTATTACAACATTTCCCCTCTCGACGGAGGGTCCAAATGAATAAGCTAAGCTAACTACGCTAAGCTAAGCTACTTATTACAAATCAACTAATTAACTAACTTAGCTAATTAATTATTATAACACAAATTGAGCAACTAGCTAATCTAAGCTAAATAATTACAAACCAAATTAATTAATTAAACACTTAACTAATTAATTACAAAATAACTAAGCTAATGAACTAGTTTAGCTAAGCAATTTAAACAAATGACCTCGGGAAGCAAGGGGGATATGCATGCTCGGTCAGTTTCTCTCGGAAATCCATTATCGTGCCTCCAATTGCCTCTGTTTGCACTTGCCTTGACCTCTGAAAATTGTGCCAATCCCCAGAATGCTTTTTCTCTAACATAGGAACCCTCTGGTGAACTGCCGACCAGAAAAGGTGGCTGTAGACCAGAAAAACTAGTCGATCGACCACCCATACTGGTCGGTCGACTACTCCTTGTGGTCGGTCAACCAGTTGATTTTCCAAACTCTAGTTTTTCCTGCAACAGAGAACAACAGGGGCACAACAGTGTATTTGCAAGACATGTGTGCACAACAACTCTCCTTATCATTTCTCAAGCTCAAAGGAGTGTGGTACTCGACTCTCGAGCCACCAACCGAGCATCACAATGCACGATGGCCGAGAATCCAAGTTCGTACAAGTCAATGAATGCACAAATAACGCACAAGAGCCTTCACCTCTATCATGCATGATCAAGAGGGACGGCGACTGAGAAATGAGGCACATTTCATCACTTTGAGTATGAAACACCCCTCGTTTCTCGTGTTCGGATTAACGTCTGATCCAAACACATGCAATGCAACTCAAACATGTTATCTCGACATGTTTTACTTGGTTCAATTTTGTTTACTCATTTTAGATTACCAATCCATCATTTAATTGGTTAAGTCCAAAAGTGAGAAGTCCTATAATTGGAAAGACAGACCAAGCCATAAACTTCTCAAGCATGAAAGAAGTATCATGCTGTTGGTTAGTAGAAACCTTCAAAAGAAGGCTAAAACCATTAGGCATGAACGCCTCGATTTCACACTCAAACCAACAAAGGACTTAAGACCTCTTTCAAAGCGATATAACAAATGAAAGATGGCATGCAATGGCATACATTTCAGCATTGAAAAAGGATGCTAGAGACCTTAAAACATGCAAACAATGCAAGCATAACATGTTGAAGGCCAAAAACATCAAAGCTAATAAAGAGCATTTCACAAGAGGCATGCCATACCAAGCCTAAATGACTAAACCAACTATGGACAGACCTAAACCATGCCAAAACAGAGGCCAAAACATCCTGAAACTTGGGCACAAAAAGCTAGAAATGCATACTCATATGATGGCTCATAAACAAGGCATAAAAGTACAACTCTTAAACACAATTAAAGAGTGATAAACATGAGAATATGGCAAAGATATAAGCTCTGAAATACCATGCCAAATGATGCCAAGGCATGCAAACATCACAAGTATAGCATGGTAGGGGCCTCAAA